TAAGCATACCGGCATAAGCATAAGGAAATTGATTGGTCCATTTCCTTATGCATTTGCTTATGCTTATATATAGACCAATCAATTTCCTTATGCATATGCGTTATGCTTTATGTAAAAGTCTGTGCTCCGGCCTTAAACCTTATACTTATACCTTATGCCTTATACCGTGTTTCGAGTGGGCGACATCTGTATTTCGCGAAGTGAAGGAAACTTCGATGTTATATTTTAATAATCGATTGTTACTCGATGTATCGATCAGCAAAAACATCGATTAAAATAATCGATGCTGTAATAAAAAGCATCGATTTTCTAAACATCGAGTGAGCATCGCCCACCACTACTCCGAAGTACCTGCGCAGATGAGATACATTCCTGCGTACACGAACAACAAACTGCGCTGCAGTCATTTTCGCAGGCGGAGTAAACGAACATCTGCGGCAGTAACTGCATAAACGAATGCACCCTATATCTATTTGTAACTTGATAAAGAAATATACTATTTCTGTCTCATAATTTTTTATCAATTATTTACATCATTGCAATGTAACAAAAACTAATATATTAATATAAAAATGAGAGTACTCTAATGATTAGGTAACAACAAAATGCTGCCAATTAGAGGACACTAGAGAGATTTAATATTTAAACATAAGTACATATGCAATATAAAAAAATTTGTAAAAAGAAAATTTCTTATACATCTGATTAAATCCTGACTAAATCCGCCAGCTAGTTCCATTATACTATGTAGTATAGAAATACATTGCTCAATTGCTCAATTCGTTAAAATTTTACAGCATTATATAAAAATTCTATATACGCAATAGAAAGAAAAGTATTTACAATATTTTGTTACTCTAAAGTAATATAAATATATCATTTTACATAAATTTTCTTGACTAGACACTGAAATACATAATGCAATGTAAATAATCTAAACTCATAACTTATGATTGATGCATAACATGTTGCACTCTTGGTCGCTGACCAACATAAATCACTTGTCTCGGTTCATCCGGATGAATTAACTCATCCGTATGTTTCCACCGCCACTTCTTTTCATTCTCTTTGACACGTCTATGATCGATGTAACTGATAACGCAACTTGCTGGTATCCATATAATGGCAGTGATGATTATCACAGCGCCTACTATATTATCTTTCAGAAAACGCATCACTTTATTGATATTTATATCCTCGATGATGTCCCAAAATCGTTCTACTACGTCTTGGATCGTTTTCTCACATGTACCCTAAAAAAATGCATGTACAATTCCAAGTCCGACAGAAAATTTACTTTTATTTTGTTCTTATTAACTAAATTGATATATCATCTCATTACCTTGTTGCAAAAACCTTGAATACACGGTGTTCCATCGGGTAAAATGTCTTGCGGGTCTATCGGGAAGCACGTTTCGTTTAAACTCATTCTACAGCATCTTTTACATGCATCGGCAACTATTAAACAAATTCAGTATAATAATAATAATAACATACTATAATGTCAATATACTATAATCATAATTCCTTATATAATATACACTTAATTATAAAACCTAACTTTTTTCTTCTGTTATTATACCAAAACTAATCACACAATTACAATCAGTCTTAATTCGAAATATCCTGATGTTATATCGCAAATGTAAACATAATAAGATATTTGCAATTTGTTTTATACTCAATACTCAGAATTTTTAATAAAGCACGTACTTGTATCACACATGCAGCTTTGTAAGTTTTGAGTCTCGCAGTATGGCACGCATTTGCCACCACGGCATTGACCACGTTCGAGACAGCCAGTGCCGTCCTGCATAGCTGGAGATTTTGGACATTCGCTAGACAGCCCGGTGCAGCGCGATTCTTGTTCACAAGTGGCATATTGTGCATCGCGACATTTTATTCCCATAGCCATATATTTGCAATTCTGACAGCAAGGAGAGTTTTTGTCACTGTCGAAGAAAATGAAATAAATATTACATTGTTGAATGTAAAAGTTTACAAAATTTAATCATCAGACTACAAGAAAGTAGCAATAAATAAACCGACTTGATTTTACATTACCTACAAGTTGCTGATGGATTACGTCGAAGCTTGCAATTTTTGTCACAACACGAATCGTTATCTTCTGTTCCCAAAAGACCCGCATCACATTCCTCGTCTCCTTCGACTCTTAAATTGCCACAGAACGATTCCTCCGGCTCTGAGAAACAGCGACCAGATTTGGCTTGCAAGACCTTTCTGATAGATCGCAAGCTGCATGGTGAAAATCTCTGTATGTAAAAAAAAGAGATTGATTTATAAAACCATAGACTTATATATAGATAAATTCGCATGTAAAATAATGTAACATCCCATTTGACAAACATGTATTAAATATTTATCACATTATAGTATTTTTACCATTATTATAGTAAATTTAGAGAATAAAATATATACTCCACCTTATTATTTACATCGTAGCCACTAACACTATAAGTATACATTAAATAAGATCCACCTTGGCTTGCGCTCGGACTACATTCCTACAATAATATTAAAAAATTAAGTTTCAGCTTCAAACATTAAAAATATAAGAAAAGAAAAACTTCTTTAAGGCTTTGTAAAGCTTATTAAAAAAGCATGTCAATCCAATGTGTTTCAACAGTTCAAATGTGTGAAGTCCTTAATTTTTGCATTAACATTTGTTTCGCAATTAATTCAATTTTCATTTCCTTTTCATTTCCAAGAAAATTTGAAATATGTTTAACTTAGTTGCATGTCAGCTAAAATAAGTTACAGTATAATGAGAATAACTTACTGTAATATCTGGATCATGTTCGGAACCCCAATTATGACCAAATTCGTGTGCCGTGACTAAATCGGCTTCTCTTGTAATTACTCTTTGTCCATAATGATTTCTACTGGAGCTCAGTCCCGAGTTTAAGTATAATGTATATCCGTTTTTGAAATATTCTAAAAAAAAATAAAAATTCCTTGACAATGAATATAAGATATATGTAATGTCATATACATTATGCTCTTATTATTATATCAAAGTGATGTAGATGCAAACTGCTTTTTTTACAGACCTGGTGTACAGATACCGCCCACTGAATTTCTACGAGGAGATCCTACATAAGCTAATCCAAGGATACCACCTTCAAACTTGAGATCGGTAAATAGATGAGCCAAACAAAAATCTTTATGGCTATATTCTCGACTGAACACCTGCAGTAACATTATAAAAAATACTATTTAATTGTGAACAATATTTAGCGATGTTAATTTAATAAAATAAATTACGTATTATTAAGTTAATGATTCTATAATTAACAGCCTTTCTTAATTTTAAAAACAAGGAACATTCTACAAATCATATTAACCTCGAGCAGTGTACGGACATCCCATTTCTCGCGAACCATATTGTAGTGTGTTTCACCACCCCTGACTCTTGTCGGTTCACTGTGAACAACTATCTTCTTGATGACAAAACCCATCCCTTTGAAACCATCTTGCTCTTGACGTTCTTGCCATAAAGTGTCGTTATAAATCTTATGCACTCTATCGATTAAACTTATCTGCAAAAAGAATTAATATTATATTTACAAACCATACACTGTGTATTGTTATATTTATACTCACATACCAAATAATTGATTGTAGTTTTTGTACTGCTAGCACCCATTTCTTGGTAAAATCGATAATCGGCAACCAATAATAATGGGCATCTTGTTTTTGTCGGTGTATATTCGTAAGTTTCTGTCTGCCTCTTTACTCTGCTATTACTATCATTGATTTCTAAATTGTCTTTCTCAAAATCGTCACGTAACGTATAATCTATTGTTAAAAAAAGCAATATTATTGTTGCAATTATAGAAATATAAAACAAAAATTTATGTATAATATTTATAATAAAACCGTACTTAAGTTGTCTTTGACATAACCACAAGTTCTTGGAGCTCCATGTGTGTGACCTTCTCCATCTTCATAATGCTCCCAACTGAATTTGACATCGGAAGATTTGTAAACAATCATTGTTTTGTTATCTACGTAAGGAAGATGCCTCCAGGATGGCTAAAAAAACATGCACTTCAAATAAACTTTAATTATACATGACAATTTGATAATTTGCATCAAGTGTGACAAAATACAGCCATAGTTAAAAATGTGGCATATCTTTAAGTTTGCAGAATGTATTACAACTAACTCATTATTTCTCATCATATTGCTTATGTAACAATTGACTTGCAAAAAACACTAACATCATAAACCAGCAATATATCAATTTTGTTTAATACTCACTTCAATATGAAAGGTTTCATCCGAAATTGTTATACTACCCGTCACAATGCCATCATCAATATGCATTTGAGCATGAGACTCAATTTCTCCAAACACTCGGCCATGATAAAAACTGTCATGATCTGTGGAACAATATTATAAATACAATGCCTCAAACAATATTATAAATACTTTTCAATTATGTATTATTATACCTAAATGTATAGTTTTTTCTTTTCCATCAGCATTTACTTCATACGCCTTAAAATTGGAATGTATAACTTCTCTTTTAGGTGTTAAAATTAATCGGAAATGACTGTAATCAAAAGAATATTATAAATTAACATAAATAGAATAAATTTGATAATTTAAGCATTACTTATCAAGATTAAATATCTTACCGTCCATGTGAATAAAATTCTAATTCATTTATTTTATTATATGGGTGATAGCTATGATGAATACCCCGCTTTACAATCTTATGTTGAAAATGAGTACTGTGAATCATTTCATAATACCTCAGGTTTCTATGAAGCCCATCTGTTAATAAAAAAAGATAATATAAATCAGAACATTACATAAAAAGTCAATAATATATTGTACAAAACAATTTATAACACATTAGAACATCAATTTCTTAGCAATTACACAAATATAATACAAAACATGTAATTCTATTTATCAAACTTAATTCTTACAAGACTCTGTTTTAAATCATTTGAAATTTCAAGATCATATTCTTCTATCAAAATTTTTTCAATTTTAAACGAGAACTTCCTGTTAATATTTTACATTTAAATTGCAAATTATTCAGTGATGTATTGGTTGCATGCTAGTGGAGTAAATTGAAATATAACTTACAAACACTTTGGAGAGCAATGAAAATGCAGTAGATAAATAGTGTATTTCGCTTCTCCATTGTTGGCAAAAAAAATTAATTATACATGAATAGAAAAGCACAGCTTCTCCTTGCTTTCTTAACGTTTATATTCTTATCTTAGGTTATAAACTGCAATATTGGAAATGTATGGATTATCACGATTTTGTTAATACTGTTAACACCATTTATGCAAAAATGATTTACGGTAAATTGCATAATAACTTGGATGAAAACAAAACTAGATTTCTTCGAACTATTGCGTGCGTAAACATCGTTTTTTAATTTTATTTATCATGATGATAAATAAAACGATGACGATTGCAGGTTAGATTCTATTAAGTCATCGATCACGTAACACGCTAGAGAACCAAGCGGATGAAATATTAGAGACGATAATGATGATAGATTTAATAATTTAACGACAGCTATGTAATATATTTAAAATATTTTAAAAAACTAAATAACCCATATAATGGTAAAGTAATTTATAAAAATATAATTTTAGTTTTCAATCTCAACGATTGATGCAAAAATTTTACACAGCGCATGCGTGAAATCTTGGCGCGCATAACAACACACTGCCGTTGCGACAAAAGCATCAAAAAGTATTCAGTTTTCTTGCACTTTCCCGCCGTGCCTTTCTTTAGATATAAGTATATATAAAAAACTTTTTGATTTCAGGCATTGAAGGAAAATATATATGTATAACGAGTGCACATTAAGCGTTACTTTATCAACCGTTAAAAATCTTTAACGCACCGGGCAGAATCTATAAATTTGCCGCTCGATTCAGGTTAGTTTATGTATTATTGCGATAATTTTTTCATGTATATATATATATATATACATACATAAAATCTCTTTTACATATTTGTATGATTAATTATCTTAATCTTATAAATGGAAAACATATGTTACAAAAATTATTGACATGAGTGTTGCTTTAAATATTCTGTGTTTTGAGATTGTCAGTCATAAAATTAATCTTCTATAATAGTTGAAGCCAGTCCAAGTTTAATTTAATTATTTTTAATATCTTGACATTACCTGTTTTAATTCATGGATTTCTTTCAGGTTATTATTTAAAAAAATTATTCAACATGTCAATGGATAGTGGACAAGGAAGTCTTTACACTCCACGACGAGCTCAAAAGTGCCTTTTTGCTTCATCTAACAGTAATTCTTACAAGAAAAGCATAGTTCAAGATTTAAATAGGAGCAGAGATGAAGCATTCTCAGGTGACGAATCAGATTTGGGACCTATGTCACCCTTGGCTCTTACTGATCGAAGTCCAAGCAGTGACAGTTCTTCAGGCAGAGAATTTGTTTCTCCCTTTGCAACACCTGAAAAATTATGTCGCTCAAATAGCATGCCTATGACTTGGGATCGTTTAACATCAAGACGCTGCATAGAAGAGCGTATATCACCTTTTAGCTCACTCAAAAAGATTACTAAAGCTGCTAGATACTCACCAAAATACAAATCATTTAATAGCAATTTGTTGAGATCATTGCCATCTTCTCCAAGTAAAGTGACAGAACCATCAACGCCACAGCGGTTGAAGATGAATTCAACAGCAGACGAAATAGTGCCTGAGACACCGCCACGAAGCTTTGCTACTGAGCTTCAAAATCAAACCATCATGGAGACACCTCGGAAGAGCTACAGCCCCAGGCAAATAACACCCTTGAAATCTATAACTAAGACAGCACCATTGCCGAAGCTGCATAGACGGAAATCTTTTAGTACATTTGAAACGAACCAAACTTCCTCACCTGAGATAAAGGAAAATGTATTGAAAAGACGTGCTCCTCATGATCAGATAACAAATCCGGCGAAATTATTTAAAGCAGATGATACTTTTGCACCCAGAGCTAGAGCAGCACTATTTCAGGACAGTAAGAACGAATCTAGCAACTCGAAAGCCTTTTCATTGAGTACAAAAACGTTTTACAGTAGCAGCTCGAGGACCGAACGACCTTTCGCTTTCGGCAGTTTTAGAAATAACGACGTTAAAAAAAGACGAAGTTTACCTCCACAAAGCAGCAGACGTTCGATAAGAAAGAAGCAGAGACTTGGTAAGATGAATGCCGGCGTGTTCCACGGAATCAAAAAGCGCAGGCCTAAAATAAATCCAGAGACATTGAAGAAAGAAGGGCAAAATGCTGCACCTTCAAACAAAAATCCATCTATCGAAGTAGTTCAGCCGATAAATATGATCGCGGAAAGAGCTTCCACGCCAGAAGTCGATGAGAATAAACAATTTTTCAAAACGATCAAACCAAGTCGCGCTACAGTGACATTAAATAATAAAATTAAATTGAAGGTTGCGGATGGTAAACTCGTATTGAAGCAGAAACGCATTTCTTCCACGACAAATGCGCGTAAACAAAGGCCGAGAGCGGTGGACATCTCTTTGGACGCGACTGACCTGACCGTGGACGAACCGGAGGTTGAAGCTACACTGGAGAAAGACAAAATTGTTAATAATCTCTTGAAAATATTGGAGGACGACTGGGCGGATGATTATGATACGATGGGAACATTGGACATGTTCCGAACCAAGGTTTCTCCGTTAAAGCCAGTGGCAATAATCCCGACAGACGAGATTATGTCTCCAGCTACTGAACTCAGTAACATGACTTCAACGATGAACATCAAGGATGTTGTTTCGCTAACGAACATTGAAAGTCTTTCGCTTGACAACACGAACAGCAATAATGAAACTGCAAAGACCGGCGAGAAAGAAAAATATTTTCCATTATTTGCGAAAGGATATTCTGCACCTGATAACATCTTCGAGTACTTTTGCTTATACTATAAATTTTGAACTTTATTTATGTTTCTGCATAGCATTCTATTCTACATTATTTTTATATTAACTTTTTAATATAGAATGTTTTTGTAAAACAATATTCTAAGCTATGTGGAAACATTGCAGATCTTATATCTGTTAACATATTTATATTTCTCTTTCAGAGAAACGAATAATGCGAAGTCCAGTAAAGCAAAAAGAAATACACAATGGCAGCTATCCGCGAAAGGTGGTGGTGCGGAAGATCAGTATCAACTAGATGCTGGTCAGAAACGTTTTGGTGCCACTCAGTGTCCAGAATGCAACATTATATACCAATTGGGCGATCCTGAGGATGAAAACGCTCATTTGAACTATCACAACAGTATACGGACTTTAAAATTTCAGGTAAGCTGCATCCATGTCCCTAAAATCGAAATTTTATTATAAAGATATATGATAATAATATATAAATATTTTATATATACAATACTTTAGGGATGGAAGAACGAGCGTGTTATAATGGAAGATCCTTTCACGTCCAGCCGAATAATTTTAATCGAACCACATGACCCCAAGCAACATTGGAAAAAAGTGTCCGAGATTTTGACGGTTGTGGACAGAGATTTGGGATTGGCGGACATGAATACGTTAGATTATAAAGGCAAAAAGGTAAATATATGCGTAAATTGAACATTTTGTCGTATCAATTCGGCAAAAAATCACAAAAAATATTTTCTGCAAGGTCTTCTTGTACATACGCGAGAAAAGCGTCCTCGGAATATTGATGACGGAACCCATCAAAACGGCATATCGCATGATTCCCGAATTAATTGAGCTGAATTGTTGTACCGCTGAGAGTACTCCTACGAAATGTGGCATAAACGTTATCTGGACTACGATGAGCCATCGCAGACAGGGTATAGCCACTAAGCTTCTTGATACCTTAAGGTGAGCCACTATTGTTAAAATAGTACAATACTTTATCAAATAGAGTTAATACGACAATAAAAGATCTTTGTTTTCGCATTTCAGAACCGAATACTTCTACGGCTACGTGATGTCGTTGGACGACATAGCATTCTCGATACCAACTCCAAGCGGCAAAATTTTCGCCGAGAAGTACACCAAAACGCAAAACTATAAAGTTTACAATTAAATGAATTTTACTTAGGTCTATTTCTTTCTTCAAGCTTCTCCCCAAACGTTTGTGTTTTTGTTAGCAAAATACCGGTGTACTTATTGCATTACACATTTTTTATTCTATTACATTTTCCCTTGAAGTTATAACTTCTTGTAAAAGTTTTACTATAAGTTTGATATTTTTTTAATTTATATATTAATACAATATTCATATTTTTTTAATTCTTTGTTGATATAGCATTTTATTGAATCATTTCAAATCTGACGAGTTTCTTTTGATGTTAGTACGGTATAAATTTAGGCTATAGATATACCGATGCAGATCATTTTGAGATTAAAAAAGAGAAAGTTAAGAGGCAGTTAAAAAAAAAAAAGTAAAAAGTTGCAAGTTAATAATATGCGATATGAATATGTTTAATTCGTCGTATTTTTCATTCACTAAGATTACATAAATAATATATATATATTTAACAGGGAGGTTTTTATATATTAATTAAGAAATATGTTATATTTTAAATTATCTGTATTTTGGACAAGAAAAATGAGTCAACTAATCTGAATGAAAATAGTTTATTAACCAAACTCAAATGTCTTAAATTTTATAACATAAATGTCTTTTATATTCGCATGTCTAAATGCTGAAACACATGGCATTCATGCAAAAAAAAGTACAAAAATATGTTATACAGGATCATATTTCGCCAATGATAACTATAACAATTTTAAACTATTAATATATTTTATCGTTGTTTTAATTGCACAGCAAGCACATTTAAAAATTTATATTACGATAAATTATTTAAATTATCTCAAATTGTATAATTAGTTTTGGCACTTATAAAAAAGAAAATAAAAATAATTGTTCCCCGAGATTACTTTTCTTAAAATCTCACAATAGAATCTCTATATTTTACAATTTTTACTTCTTGCGCTGTTCTTTCATCGCTTCACATCAAAAGCAGATATGAAATGACGAAAGAGTAAGACAAGATGTGGCAAAATAGAGAAACCAAAAAAGTTCAAAGTTCCACTGTAGAAATATCACAATGGTTTCATATTAATAATCCTGTATATAAAATTAAGTTAAATAAAACTTTTAATCATTTGATATATATTTAAACACATAAATCCGAGGCGAAAGTAAGTCTTGTATCATTAATCCGGTGGATCTTAAAACCACTGATTATCACGATGTCTATTTTTGTTACCGTATCTACTTCTGTCGCCAGTACCATATCTGCTTCTACCATCACCCTCGGATTTCCTTTTAGTTTTAAATGCCTCATACCTTTCAGACATTTTATATAATTCTTCAGGTACTTCCTGAAACAACAAGACACCAATTAAATTTTATTCGTAGGAAATTTCCAATAAGCCAAAAGCTTAATGTCCATCTACTGACTTGACTAGCCTCTTCGAGTATACGAATAAGTTGCTTAGCATGATGCCAGTCACTCCTCGTCATCAGAGTGATACTTTCGCCCGTTTTACCGGCGCGTCCGGTACGCCCAACTCTGTGAACGTATTCCTCTATATCCCGCGGGAAGTCAAAGTTAAACACGTGTCTGAAATAAAAGGCAAAAAATTGCTATATATTATTGTATCTTAAGTGATACAGCGCATCTTGTACAATGAAACTTACGTAATATCTTCAATGTCGATTCCTCGACTGGCCACATCGGTCGCAAGAAGAATTTGCACCTCTCCAGTCTTCAAATCTTCTAACGCTTGTTCCCTGTCCGCTTGCTCTCTGTCGCCGTGAATACTTTGGCAGTCAATGTTCGTTAAAGCTAGTTCGCTAGAGACATCGTCCACTCTGGCTTTCTTACCAAAAAATACTATCACCTTATCCTGAGGTCCCATTTCTCGAAAGAACTGATACATCTACAATACATTTTTTTTTTAAATATACAATGTGTCTGAAATAGTTAACAATTAATTCCGCAATGACATGTTTATAAATGTAATAATTTTAAAAAAAGCGTTTCAACTTATTTTTCGGGAAACTGTTTAAAAAAAAGATTAACTGGTAACTTTAAAAAAAGACATCTTTAGGATGTCCTAAAAAATTGTCTTTTTTAGAGCATCTTAATTTTAAAAAATATTTAAAAAGTTACTTAAAAAAATTATTAAAATAATCTTATTACCATCTCCCTCAAATGTTAAAAGCTAGAAGGAAAGAATTGAATTACTGGACTTGTAAGGATAAGCTTGGCAATACATTTCAAAGTGATACTAACCATGTCTAACTTTTCAGATTCATCAATCATAACAATCCTCTGCGTTACAGAGTGGACAGCTGCTAAATCAAGTGATCCAACGAATACTTGAATCGGATTTTTCATGTACGATTTTGCTAAATATCTTACGCCTTCAGGCCACGTAGCGCTAACAGGATAGAAAACAAATATTTTAACATCTTTCGCAATCACACTTTTTTTGAAAAGACATTATTAAAGACATGGCTTGTGCGTACCTTGTCATAACAGTTTGTCTGTCTGGCCGCACACCCAGTAAGCTCTTACGAATTTGTGGTTCGAAACCCATGTCTAACATACGATCCGCTTCGTCGAGTATGAGATATGTCACAGCTGATACATCTAATATTTTCGCTTGCACCAAATCATTTAACCTTCCAGGAGTCGCAATTACTATCTGCACGCCTTTAGTGACAACGTCGATCTGCGCTTTGCGATTTCCACCACCATACACGCAAACCCTTAAATATTTTTCGATTGTATTGCAAAGGTAATCGTTGTACGCAAAAAATTATATTTTAAATGTAGAAAAATAGTATGTAAATGTGATAAAGACAAATAGACTTACGCTTTAATACCGTGATAAGAATACTTTCCCACTTCCTTTTCAATTTGCAATGCCAATTCTCTCGTTGGTGCCATAACGAGAACGTTTGGTCCAGTACGCTCTTCGCGTGGAGTTACTTGGCCATCGATGTGAATCAAAGCAGGCAGTAAAAAAGCGAGAGTTTTTCCTAAAATAATGATTATCTTATAATTCGTAAAATTATAGTTGCTATATACATAATTATATCTAGATAGAAATAACCGAACCTGTGCCGGTTTGCGCTATTCCAATAAGATCCTGACCACTCAGTAGAATAGGCCATGCCTGACACTGTATGGGACTAGGCTTTTCAAATCCTTGCTTCTGTATTTCCTTAAGAATATCCGGGTAGTGCTGTATCATAAATAAAATATTAATCTCTATATGAATACATATTCTCTATATGATAAAATATTAATCTCTATTAAAATAATAGTAAGCTCATATTTGATTTATACATTACTTGAAAAGCTTGTTCAAAAGTTTCAACAGGATTTAGTATTTTTAATTCGTTATCAGAGCCTTCTTCTTTCTCGAAAATATGTCTAACTTCTATGTTATTATTACTTGTCCTGATGTCAGCTACTTTCTTTTCAGACATTTTGGCAACAACTGGATCTTCTATGTAAAAATTCTTTTTGATAGGAGGCAAAGATGCCCATTTTTGCTTCTGACGTTCCTCCTGCAAAAAAAAATGATTAATATATTTATATATGTTTTGTAAAATAATTGGTTTATCATTCATGATTATCTGTACAACATACATATTCTGCATTAGCCTTGGCCCAGTCAAAAGTTGACCAATCAATATCATCTTGTTTCTGCTCAGGCTCAGGCTCAGGCTCAGACTTTTCTGTATTTTGTACAGTTCTGACATTTCGATGTGAATAATTTTGATCAGTTAATAACTCTTCTATTAAGCCCTTAGCTCGTTGTTGTGCATCATCTGTACCGATCAGCGTTACAGCAGTCTGTCCATTATCAGAAGATTGTCTGTCAATCTAGATGAAAATAAAAATAAAACATGAAATATTAAATAATATTTAATTAAGCTGAGTTATTAAGCTGACAGAGACAACATCTTATAGCATGTAATTTCCTTCATTATTTACATTAATCTTAGCATTGCTCTCATCTTGCAAAGCTTTAATTTTACTGCCACCTTTTCCAATAAGTTTTCCAATTTTGTCGCTATCAATATGTATGACAAGCCCATTTGTATTGTTTGAGTTGCTGTTGGTGTTCCTCCTATATGAACTGTTGCTGTAGGTTCTTGAACTCGACTCATTCCACTCATCGTCGACTGATCTATTGGTACTTCTGTTATGTGAACTATTGCCATAGTTTGGTGTACTTGATTCCTTCCACTCATCATCAAATGATCTATTGCCACTTCTGTTATATGAACTGTTGCCATAGTTTGGTGTACTTGACTCCTTCCAATCATCTTCGGATGATCTATTGGTATTCCTCCTAGATGAGCTGTTGTTGTAGTTTGACGTATGTGGCTCCTTCCAGTTATCTTCGGATGATCTATTATATCTCTGAGAATGATTGTTTCTATCCATTCTGCTTCCTCTCCTGTCACTTTGCCATTTGCCACTCATTATTGAAAATAACAAGGACCTTTGCGCTCAAAATATGTTCTGAAATATGTAAATAATACATGGATAATATAAAATTTCAAAAAATTATATTGTGTCTTATGGATAATATAAAATTTCAAAAAATTATATTGTGTCTATTTCAGTTGTTCTTTTAGAAAATATGATTGAATTTGCTGCAAATTCTATTTTACGAACAAAATGGATCAAAAGACAAGAGTAAAGAATTGCCTTGATTTTGTATCCTTTATCTCTGTCTTTTTTATCTTTAAACTTTATATTTAATTAAATTAATTTTAATATTTAGTTGAAACAAAATAGGGGATCTTGTATTTTATATGCAAAGTCTGTTTTAGGCTATTTGGAATCAATTTTCATGATAATGTTGTAAAAACTCTTGTAGGAATTAGAATTTAATTTATAATGATAAACATTGACAAGATTGATAATAAACTGTGTTTTATAAAATCACACTTCACAAGATTTTCTATGGATGTTATATTATTTAAACCAATATATGTAGTGTTTCATAAAACCCATGCCTTATCACTACGTATTCCATTACATTCACATTCAGCTGACGATGAAAAAATATATTTCTATTGTGTGAGCAACGCAAATAATTTCCTACGAAATAACTCATAAACAATTTCTAAACACTTATTCTATTAGCAGTGCATATAATATATTTTACCTGATTACACTGGCAATAATAATCGAAAACAACTATTTCTGTTATTAATAATTACTTCATACACGTAAACCACATAGAAGAGAACAGCGTCTGATAGCGTCGGCTTGTTCAACGATAAATGGTGGTTGAATGGTGGAGATAATAATATAACGCATCCACATGTTCCGGCTATCCCCATGCATAAATACATGTCCTGCAGGACAGCCAATAAGTCTCCCGGAAATAAAGGCATGTGAGGAAACGATTGGCTTATTCCTGCATGTACAAACCACCACGTGATGAATGCAGTAATTATGCGGGAGATATATAATTTTTTAAATAAATATACAATATTAAGTTAATTTTTAGAAATCAGGTTTCTAAATTCCAATCTGTCAGATAATCTATATTACGGAAACTGTTTTGTATACATTGTCCATTTTTTTATATAATAGCGACGCACGCGCAATCAGTCCATCAATCACATTGGACGCTGATTTTAATTAAACCGCGTTTTAATTTTCTGCTTTTTTTCTTTTGATCTCTTTGTAGGCTGCGGAAAAGTGTCATTCTTATTCAATTATTTTATTGCGTTCTGTGATGTTTCATAAATAATACTTTCGTTAAACACTTGACGTCATGTATAAAAAGAACCTAAAAAGAGCCAAAAAAATTAAGTATACGTTTGGCTTCTAATTAGATTTTACATTAATGTATCATATTTTTAGATTTTAAATATTTATTTTGCATGTTTAATTAAGCAACAAATGTCCTTAATATGTCACTGTGTTAAATTATTAAAAAAATTAATCTTGATTTTATTATACGATGATTTAGTTTTGATTTAGTTTTTGATTTCTCGCATATAAATACATTGTTAAGAACTATGCATAGCAACAATCTTTTGTGATTGTTTCAAACAATAATCAGAAATCAAACGGTTATTTAATGTAGAATACAAATGCTAAAATTATCGATTTAAGACATGATCATATCATACTGAAAGCCTTGACGCACTTTTAATTATTTATTTATGCATAAATTTTTTTACACATTTAATGATATATATTTTTAATCTTATAATGATATCTTTTATTATCAATTTGTTTTAGATTTTATTTTATATCTTTTCATTTTAAAACATTTAAATATTATTGCATAAATTGTAACATTATTATATGTACTTTATAGGATTCAATTGAATGGAGGACGTTCCTTGGAGTTAAATAAAAAGAAAAAGACGCGCTACAAAGGAGTTTGCACAGAGATTACATGCCTTTAAAGGAATATTTGCGGAAATATGTTTCTCTTGGCTAAAGAACTAATTTTATTGGAATTTATTTCCACAGGATAACAGAATGTAATGTTGATTGTGCCGTCAGTCAGAGCATGTGTCGGACACGGTAGGCGGACACATAACGCTGCGCAGAATCATATCGGCTATGGTGTAGCTTGAAAGTTAGTCGAGCCGTATTTAATTGTGCATCAGTGTGAAAAGGGACCTTGGAAAGAATGTTGTCGATAGCACGTACGGTCTCGCCCTTAATAATCATTCTTTTAATATTCGAGTGTTATTTGGGTGAGTACAGTAATACTAAACAAAATTTACCCCCCGCATGACCTCCGAATTTACCCTCGGATGATCTCCGAAATCGGAGTTCAACCGAGAATCGCAAAAATTTATCTGTGTCAGATTCAGGCCTATTGTGACATGGAGACCACAATATTTTCTAGTACAATTAACAATCCTTATGTTTCTTAATAATTTTATGATATATATTAAGTTCTATCTGGCTTTTGAGCACAGCACTTTTATTATTCCCTTTTCCTCATTTTTAGCAAGATTTTTCGAGGACATACCTTTATTTCATATTGAAGAGCGAGATTTCAGTTCCTTAAATTTTAATTCCAAGAATCGATTAAAAAATTAAGTGATAAAGTAAAAAACATTTCTCTTAAACTCACTTTTATGCATATAACAGTTAAACGATTAATAATGTTTAATGATTTTCTAGAACTCGTTAGACACGTCGTCAAGGAATATTGTGACTTCCATTGATCCCGATAAAACTTTAATTATATTTAAGATTAAAAAATCTTTTGTAGGAGCCCGTGGTACCTCGATAAAATCCTTGAACGTGCCACTTGTGGTGCGCAACGGCACCGGACCGGTGGATCTGATCTGCATCTACGAAATTAACGAAGACGAGAACGGACTTGTAATCAAATGGTTTCATGAGGCGTATCAGATCTATCAGTGGATTCCGCCAAGTAATTTACATATTTACCGCCCACGATTCTGTTATAATTTAACAATGCGCAATTACGTAAACGTATCATGTTCCTGCATCTGCGCGTTATTAAATTTACGTGTCAGTGACTTCGCTACATCAGAACTGTCACAAGATATCACAAAGTACTAGAAAATCACACGAATGTCGCGATCTTGAGAAAAGAAATGTCAACTAAGAAAGTTAATGCACAAGGCCTTTTCTTTCTTTTTCTCCATAATAATAAGTAAATGTTAAAAATTCAGATTATAGATTTCTATTCGACTTGCTTGCGTCACACCTGTCTATTAATAATCTTTACTAAAGAAAATTCGTGGCTTACTCGTACAATTTTTCTGTCATAAATAGTAATTAACAAGCACTTTTAAAAATAAACAATATATTAGTTTAAATGCAATGCGTCGCGATAAAAAAAATGTACCCATGTCACCAGTGCCACCACAAGAGATCGGAATCATCGAAGGCTTCGCGGAATATCCGGCTGAAAATCTGATGGATCCGTATTCGCGTTCTGTGATTCGATTGAGGACCGTCACGACTGACATGACGGGAGAATATACGTGCGCGATCGGCACGTACCAGGACGAAGCAAGAAACTCGTCGAAGATGATTGTCTATGGTAAGTTTATGAAAAGATTCACTCTGAAAATTAATCCAAATTAAATCTTCAAATTGGATTATTTACTTGCTCTTTATACCTTCAAGTACCAGAAAGCGACATGACGGTGCGCACTTACCCCTTCAACAAGACGCATGTAAATTTCACATGCGTGGTCACGGGTGTGCGACCGCAGCCATCCCTGAAGCTTTACATCGAAGGGATCGAGAGCAACGGTCGCGGGAGCGATCAGGAGTTTTTAACGGATTGGTATAAGGACAGTCCGCGAACGTCGCTGGACGTTATCGTCGAGGACACGCTGGACCCCGCGGTCGTCGAATGCGAAATGTCGATTCCGGAAACGAAGTACAAGCGCCGAGAACGGATCGTCTACTACCCCAGTTCGAATCGTTCCAATGTGACAGACGATTGATGTAGATCCCATGATATCAAGAACTTGACAAAATTTATGGTATCTGCTGAGAATTAATCGAATGTGTAAAATGTGCTTAAACTTTCGGAAATTCAAGCGAACCGTTTTTTTTTTCCATTCCTCATCGGTGACGAAGCATCGATTAAATGTACATTTCTTCCGTATGTTTCAGCACAATTACTGCCCTATCGCACGAATGTTTCGCAAGGGATGCACTGCGCGATGTTGCTTGTCAATATCCTTTACTTTACCGTTCTCAAATTGATACTCACGTAAGATTAAAATAGTTCAATCACAAATTGCACTAACTCTAGTAAAATAGCAAGTATTTAATGTACTCTAATTTTAGACTTTAACTAATTATTAACTTTTAGCGCTGAAAAATGAAATAAAAGCACACTTCAATTAATTCTTGAATTAATCTATTTAATTTACTTTCTCATTTTCCAAAAGGTGTATATATAGATTAGTGTCATTCGCGGAGTGGTTTTAATTGTCCAATAATTTTAATAATTAGCATTTAGCGACTTAGTTCCGAACACGTTTTGCATATTGCTATATCGAAACTACAAGGCAGTTGCGTGCGTCGGAGATGGGGGTGGAAAAGGTAATCTTGGATGGTGGGGATGATATCCAGAAGCAGTGCCCCTCAAGATTATCATTCGCTTCCCGACGCTCGCCTGTAGAGGGTACGTAACCACTTGTAATCTCTAGCATGTCTCGATAATTCATATCAATCGGAGATCTTTATAGCATTTTATCTATCTCGTGATGATAAAATAAGCATATAATTTCATTATATATAATTATCAAAATTATTTTTAATTTTTTATAACATTACTTCTAACTTAAACCAGCGGCACACGGTAC